CCCATACACAGCTTTACAGCACCACTCAGTTCTCTCAGATAACATTCAGTCTCTCATAGTTAAGTTACATAAATTTCAGGGGGAAAAAAATGAAACCAAAAGAGACATAAATATTTTATGTAAAAAAATCTCACTTCAGTTTAGAACTTTTGAGTGGTGTATACCTGTGCTTTCAGATTAATAATGCAGTAGCACAGGTCGCATACTGCTTGTATTTCTGTGTACCCAAAAAGCCCTCTCTGGCTTCACGACTATGAAAAAAAACTAAACAGACAAGACATAACGGATTAGGTATGGAAAACATAAATACTTCATTTTCAACATATTAACTTTTATATTTCATAATATCCATTATATGGTGTGTTCCCATACACAAACACAGACAAAATCAAGTCTGAATTTTCATGAGAGTATTCAGATTGATTATAGGACGTTCCAGTTTTCTACAGATAAAAATTAATACATTGCTTTAATGAATATACTACAGACAAGGTCTCTTGTCCTTAATTTGCATCAGATGGGAAAAAAGATAGAAGCATCTATAAATACTGATGAAAATAGATATAGATGAAGTCAATGGTGATTTCCTGGCGCAAAATATGAGTAAAAGTCAATGTCATTTTAAAGATAAACACGCATTTTTCATAGCAATAAATAATGCTATAAATCCTGCCATACTGGATTGCAAATAACTTCAGCTGAATAAAACTGCATGACATGGGATTTACTTATCCTGTATGTTCACAGAAACAACTTGTTCTCTGACAGCACTCATTCTTGGCAATTTATTGCAGCTGTCAGCAGCCAATTTGTTCAGATTACTGCTATGCATAAAGGTGTAACAATCATGAGGATTTATTAGCTGATTATCGTAAAGGTGACAGTCAGGATCGCCTTCAAAAACGCAGATGATAGGAAAGTTAAATAATTACATGAAGATTAGAATCATTTCACCTTCATTTTCATCTTAGTATTACCTACATAAACTTACTGCACTATATGTTTTTAATCACGGGAGTATATTGACTCAATACAGAAGAGAAATGATTTACTGATAGCAAAAACGTGAATACTTAATGCGAACAATATACACACATACATATGTATTTCTACTTATCAGATGAAGTAATGACTAGTACTGCTCATGCAAGTCCACATGCTTACTTGAATGTAACAAGGCTGTCCCTGTGGGTTCAACTCCTGGTGCTTTCCAAAAAAAGAACTTCTAGACCTCACGTCTCTGGTCCTGTAATGTTGTGGGGTTTTCTTCAAAACCGTTGTTCAGAAGAATGCCAGAGCTTAAACTCCTGAATGATGAAACTCAGCTCTGGTCAAGCCCAGTGTTTCCTCTTACAAATAACTATATCATCGGAGATACGTTTTCCTTGAAGCTACTGTACGAGGTCTTTTCCCAGGCTTTTGAAATCCCCAGATAAACACTGAAATGGCTCTAGGATTTTGGTTTGGTAGGGTATTCTAAGATGGAAGTTCACAAGGCACTACACCCTTTAAACTCTCATGGAGAATGCACACACGTGAAACTCAAATGAATTGTGCAAGCACACAACGCCCAAGGTTCAGAATGGAAATCCATCCATCGGTCACCATCTCATTTCAGGACCTGCCATGCTGAACGAGCCTGGGCTCCAAGGTGAAGATGGAGCTTTATGCTGGTTCTGTGACAGACCTAGCTTTCTCCTTCTCTGAATTAGGATGCCATGCTGTCACCTCCCTCTTGCCAACCACCCCTCCCAATTCCACCCTCCTCCTACCACGTCATCCCAAAGCCAGAATCTCGATTCCGTGTCTTCAACCTTCTCAAGGATCTTCCCTTCATCTTCCTGCCCTCAAAACAGGATCGCAAGCCCAAGCCCTCGCAGTCTGAGCACACATGCCATCGATGCCTTGTCACGTTCCCAGCTTCATCCTGGCCCTGACCATGCTCCAGCCTAATGAGTACGACAACACCCGCAGGGCCCACTGAAGTCTACGCTCCTAATTTCCCACTTCTTTTATTTCACTGAAGTGCAGCTGAGACAGAGTACCATTCCAGGAGAAGCTACGCTCTGGAATAAAATTTGCAAGTTACAGAGCTGAGCACAGTAAGAACATTTCAACCCAAGGGGTTTTCCTGTGGTGTTTTCCAGAAGGAACCTGGAGTTTGTCCCTTCAACCTTCAACCTGCCAACCCTCTCCTCCTGCAGCCAGCTCTGTTTGGAACTGTTGAACCAGTTTTAGGGATGGCACTCTTGAAAGAGGTCCCCTGGCAAACCAGCTCAATAATGTCTATTTTGCACAGGAAATTCTGCTGACTTTCATGCGTGCTCTGCGAGCAGGTGGATATGGAGGACAAAAAACCCCAATACTGTGGCTGAGAGGTGAGAACTGCTCCTTAAACAAACTCTTTCCTCTGTTTTCTCAATTTGGTCCCTCAATGACTAGGATCTCACTCAGGCAAGCATGGCCTCTCCCTAATCATGCTTTGGCCGGGCAGGACATCTTCAAGAAATCATTATTTTCATTTGCAGTTAATAAAAATATTCCTATATAATGTAACAGCTGGTGCTTGCACATTACTCAAGAAATTGGGAAGATCACAGTAAGATGAAAGGGATTACTCTCTATCACTAAGCGATGCTAGAATACTAGCAGGAACTCTTCTGTTTCCTTCCCACACCCTCATTATCACTTTTCCTGGAACCTGAATGGAAATACTCAACTTATTACATGAGCCTTGAGAGCCACAGAGCCCTAGTCATGGAGCATGACTCAGTCATGCTTTACAAAATTAATATACATTTAGCACAACACACACACATACAGAGTATTGTCTGTACCAAAGTATTTCCAGCTTTTAGAGGCAGCCTCGAAAGGAGAAACTGGGGAAAAGAGGTCAATGTAAAGCAGAGCTGTCAGATGTCGATGATTTTTATCCACAGTGACTGGAAAAGAGTATCAGGGAGGGGGAATATTAAGACCTATTTTTGTATTCAGATTGAGCTTGACAAATGACAACGTTTTTCATGGAAATCTTCACGGAGAGGAATTTGTTTGCAGGTTGCATTATCCAGAGATAAGGTACCAACAGAAGGTGAAATGAGAGAGTGTCTGAAAGGACAAACTGAAGAGGGATTATACACACACCAACAGCAGAGAGGTCACAAAAATCAAGAGCAGGAAGATTTGGGGAAAAACACAACTGATTTTGTTAGTAACAGCTATATATTGAAGAAACACTACAGATTAGCTTTGTACAAGAAGTATCTTTTTCGGTATATACAAGAATTACATCTATTTAGGAAAATTACAGAAAACAAAAGGAAACAAGGTTCTCCCATTGAAAAATGCTAAAGGCTTCAAGCATTGTTTTTAGACAGATTTCTCATGCTATCAATTTGATGGGGCCTCAATGAAATGTAGAAATAATTTGTTACTTGCATAATATCATGCAGTTACTGAAAAGAAAGAGATGCACACTTAGGACAAACAACATTTTAAGGTATCTGAAAAGTTACCTAAGTAGCTCTTGTGTTTGAAGTTACAAATTTTTCGTTCGCTAATTTCTCTACTGCATTCTTATTTAGGTTTCAAGTGCCTTGGAGCAAGGCTCTTAAAAATACTTTATAATTACTGGTAACAGTAACAACGTAAGTGCTGCTTTGATGACAGTGTTCTGAAAAACCACATGTGAAAACTCTGAATTTCACCATCTTTTGGATAAGAAGGCTGAAGTTAAGCAGAAAACAGGAATAATTTCCCAAGGCATATCACGTGTTGACATAGGACTAAATGATTGTTACTTCAGAAAAATAGTTATTGTTACCATATGCACCAAATGAATCAAGCAAGGGAAAAAATGCACTGTAAACTTCAAATATAAACATACCATCCTATCCATCGGGTTTTGTCATACAAAATAAAATCTTACTGTGTATACTTTTGAAAAGTGGCTTTGTCAATATTAAAGCTGTTTGCTTGCCACAGACTCTGTATGTATTCTGAGTTCCCACAATTTATGGTAGGAAATAAACACAGAATATTATCCAACTGATCTAATTTGATAAAGAAAGCCATTACCCTAAAAGGAACGAGAGGGAGGAAAAGGTCAGTAGAAATATAACCACACTGACAATAGAAGTACATGGCTCAGTCTGTGGGTTTTCCATTCCTGATTTTAACTACCAAAAAAAGCAGTTTCATTAGTTAATAGTATCAGTGTCCTAGCGAAAGCAACTACAACCAATATTCTAACAAGCAATCAAAATATATGGGATTACTAATAATTAATATTGTTATGACTGTATGGATAGCAATTAAAGTGTGATGTAAACCAATATGTGAGCTTTCCAAATAGCACCTACTTTGTAGTATCTATAAGCACAAGACAGTGTCTTCCCCTGTGAGCTTACAGCTAATGCCATTGTTAAAAAGCAATAGCATCTTTCTTCTTCCTACACAGTAAAATGGAGCATAACCACACAAATTTGTTCCGTTTCTTGAACTCTAAGACAGATCCCAAAGATTCACTTTTCCTGGAAATGAATTAGGTGAATGATCTTATTTCTTTGCCCCAAAAGCTGCACGTAGTCTTTTCAAGACTCTCATTTCATTTACCAAATAGATTAAGTACGTAATTCTGCTCTTATGCACCTATTACAAGTCACAGCTGTTATTTCTCCTCCGAGCCGGACGTTGCCGTATGGAACCTCCTGCATCTTGATTATTGCTCTAAAAGTGGGATTTTTATTTTGGAAAACCTAAATCTATCAATTGGTAAAAGCTGCCACCTACTGGTCAATAAAATTTATTTTACACCATTAGAGTAAAGAATTGCATCAATGCAGCAAACTGTACTGATACTTTGTAAAAAATTCTCCCCCACCTTAAAAAAAAAAAAAAAAGCAAGAACAAATGGTCACAAGAAATAGTTTCAACAGCAAGGTTCATTTTAATCATCTGCTCTCATCCCCAGGGAACAAGAAGGCTGTAATTGCACAAACCTGCCAATAAAATCATCCTTTTTGCCAGCATCTTTGTCCCACACGGTAATATCAATAATTCCACCTCGTTCTTCATAGAGATGAAAGTCAAACTGCTCTCTCCACTGAGGATTCAAAGTTTTTGGCACAATCTGAAAGAAGAGCAAAAAGAAAGACATATTGCATTGTGCAGGCATACACTTTCTTGAATTGTAAATTTGATCTTTAGAGTCCATTCAGGAACTTTTTTCTATTTGCAGTGTAAGTACCTTAAGCAGTGAGAATTAAAAAATAGTAATTAGAAAAGAGTACTGTCCAGCTCTCTCATGCCACTCTAACACAACAACAACCTCCAAAATCCTGCAACCTGTCACCTTCAAAAGCCTCCCGAACAAAGGATTTACCCTGGGAATGGTTCCATTTTTCTGTAGAATAATTATGCCCTCTCTTAAGTGACAGTTAGCTTCAAAGTTATGTGTCTGAGCCTAAAAGAAAACAAAGCATCTGCAATGACAAGTAGATGGTGACTGTAAGGTATTTGAACCCACATAATTTTATCACATCCTCTTTCCCCAGCTGCACTAATACTGGGAGAAGGATGATACTACCGTTTACTTTTTATGGAATAATACTCTCTTTTTTTTTTTTTTTTTCCCAAAACGGTACTTTACTTCCTTTCCTTTGCAACTGAGATGAAAGTAGCTTTCTCAATCATTTTCAGTCCAGTTACTTCTGACAAAAGTAACTTCAATGGATTTCAGTCCATGTACTTCTGACCACAGTCTTGAGAACAGAAAGCTTGCAGGTATTTCCACCATAACGCAAAAGCAGTAGTCACAGTAGTCACATCTGTCCCGAGCAAGAATGGAAACTGTCTAGTACCTTCCCTATGAAGCATTTGCTACTTTCTACATCCACCAGTTCCTCTGGCTTGAAAAAAAGGAAAAATCAGGGAGGATTAAAACATAGAAATGCTATGACAATTTGTAAGTCACAAAAGCATTAAATCTGGTTTCTTCTAATTTCAGATGACGAGGCCCTAAGGGGGGCTCAGAGGTCTGCAAATGTGGCACCTACGGGCTCATGGCCTCTTCTTCACTCTGCCCTTTGGCTGTGAAAACCACGTGGGCTGTCGTGGGCGTTGAGAGAAGAAGGTCATGTGCATCACCAGCAGTTCCAGCATCTTCCACAGACAGCAATGCTCAAACCGAGAGGGATCAGGGAAATAAAAGATAATGGCGAGAAAGACAAGAAAGTCTCCACAATCATTTTCTCCCTGATCAATCCTCTCTGCCTGCTAAGCTCACACATATGCAAAACTTCAATGACGCTTGCTGTAAGGACATGATGAGGAAAGTGAGAATGCAAGTATGACATGGTTTGAGGGTAAGACCAGGCGAAGGGTCCAAGAGGCGACCAGCATCAAGCCAGAAGGCACAACGGTGATATCTACTTGTCAGAGCTACTCCACATCTCTTTCCTGCCATGAATGACCCATAACAGTAAATAAAAGCCAACATGCTCTGTATGGAAAATCAGGTGTGCCTCCCAGCACCCTGCCTTTTTCAGTGCTATATTTTTCCCCATCTAGTATGATTTTTGTTTATAATGAAATAAAAAGAAACCATCAAAACAAAACTTCAGGTGCTCTGACAGCTAATTAATATCATGAATATCTATCACTATTTAAATAGTCACACAAGCCAAAAAAAAAAAAAAAAAAACCACAAAGAATAAAACATTACAAGCTCATTTTAGGCCACAGCTAAAATTACCTTGCTCTTGTACTTCTGATGCCCCAGCCGGAACTTCACATAAGGATCGCTCAGTCCATTTGCATCCATCGCCTTCAGTTCACGACCTTCTATCAAGGTAACACTAACTATCCCTCTCCATAGCTGAGATTTTCTGTGCAGGTCTGAGAGACGTAAGCTCTGGGTCTGAAACTTTAGGGAAATAAAAACACAGATTTAGTTAAAACTATTTCAAAAGCTTCCCCTGCATTTTAATGTTCAATTTCATATAACTGTGAATGAAAATCAACCATCCTAAGCCATTCTGAAGTTATTTGAGAGTACAAATGTAAACTATATTACAAATAAGTACTTGGAGAGAAACAAAACAGTGACAAATACGCAGGTAATGTCATATGCTGCACTTGAAGAAGCAAGCAGTACAAATGCTACTTAAGGAAGTGTTCAGAAAAAAAAATAAGTGGTTTTTCCTGCTTCACTTCTCCCTCTGCTCATAGAAATAACAACATCACAAATAAACGTTACAGAGCCTCTTCTGTTAGTAGCATACGATTGAATGAACTTGAGCAAAGACTAAAATGAACATGAAAAACGGTGACAAAATGAAACTTTCATTAAAAATAATATAAACACACCATGCATGGACCAAGGGAAAATATGTCAATAAACTCCCGTGCATATGACAACTATCTCAGCCTCTAAAATTATGTGGTATTCTCAGAAATAGCGTGGAAAACTGAATTAAATACGAGGACATTAGTTCAAGAGTTTCAAAGTGAGATGCTGCAGAGCCTCTGATCGAAACTGCGTGGAAACTTGTGGACTGTGAGCCCTCAGCCGCTGACTCTGGGGGTTAAAAGAAAATTCACACGCACCCTCACAAACCAGATGGCCACAGCATTCATCAGTGAACCCCCACCGTGGGCGGGTTATAAATTCGAGTAACTTCAGATCAGCTCCAGTTTGCTCCCAGCCACAGGGCGTACAAGGTACCAGAACCGGGAAACCCCCTTTGCACTCCTGAAGCAGGCAAATGCGCCTCGGGCGCATCTGCAGAGCAAGGTTGCCAAAATCTCTCCCTTTTGTTCTGAAATTTTATTCGTTCAAGGTTACCTTATCTAATATCAGAACACTAGGTAGCTGAACAATATTTAAACTCACAAACTACCCTTTCTAGGAATCAAAATAAGCAAGTCTGCATGTATACACAGCTGTAAATACATCAGACATACGCATTTTCTTTATTATGCAATGTAGTTTGAGCAACAAAGGCTTCATAGGCTCAGCAACCCTTCATATGTGAAGGGCTGCATGGTTGGCTCCATCACTTGCACACCTCCCGTATCTCTGTTACGAGGTTTTCAGTGCAAATTTGTCTTGAGTCAAAGAGGGCAAACACTGCTCGATTGTTACAGCTGTGCAAGTGCCCAGAGCAGGAATTTACCCAGAGAAGATTCTAGAAAGTACACTGAAGGATAATCACTGGATTATAATCTGCATTCACCAGACTCCAGAATTAAGTGTTATACGTGAGGACCGGGGCCACTGGGGATGGATCAAATCTGAGTAACGTGCTTTTAGCAGCATTTCAGGTATCACAATGGCATGTATTTGTGTTTCCTAACGGCTATTCATTCCAAGCAGTGTGGTTACTCCCAAAATATTTCACTATGTTTATTAAAGATTTCTCTTCCTGAAGTGACGGATCTGACTGCGGAGAAACTTCTCACAAACTTAGTGTTTCTCCAAAAACAAACAAGGAACTGTGCAATAACTTTTAACTTAACCTGTCACATGAAGCAGCAGTGGGACACCAGAAAACAGAAGCTCTACAAAAATTTGGGGACAAGTGGGAAGCTCAGTTGCCAGAGGAGATTTCATTTACAACAACATGGGAACATTATTAAACTTTGTAATATTTTTCCTGGCACAAATACTCTGTCACTGCTGGTATACAGTTAACATTGCCAAAGACTTGTGAAGAAGCGGTAGATTTTTTTTTCCTTTTATTTCTTTTTTTTTTTTTTTTTCTTGTTTAGAACAAAAGAAAGACTGAATAGTAAATAACCAAAACTGACTCTGCCCTGAATAAAGGGTGATGAGAGACACTGAAAGAAGAGACAAGGCATGTTTAGGAAGATATTTCATATAAGGACAGAAGCAGTGATTAGTTGAGACTTATTTTGTCAAAGAATACACAGTTGTTGGGGTTTTTTTAAGAGTTGAGTGGGAATGCAAATGATTTCCAGGGTACTATCATGGAAAATAAGCATGAGTTTGCATTTACAACTCTCTTCAAGTAAAGCTTAAGCACAACTGCACAGCTCTCTACTTCACTAATCGCAAATGAGACAGCGAATCATTTACAGACTATACTCGATCTGAATTCTGTAGTTTCAATGGCTCTTAAAATAATTTGCTGCATTACAGCAGCTGCCACCATACAAAACATGCTGATTTTTTATGACCAGTAGGGAGTTTCATCAACAGGGGTAATTTACATGCGAGGTGGCAAGGCAAGATCTAAATGGCCAAGCGTAAAATGACAGATGGGTCAGACAGGAGTTCACAAGAATTGGGGAGAAAACCTGGGAACAAGCATCCAAGTCTTGCTGGAGAAAGCCCTTCAGGTCAGAGCCAGCTCTCTCAGCCTACGACACGCGACGTGCCTTGCCGAGCCCGGCGGCACGTTGACCGATGGCCAAGCTGCAGAGCCTACGCCTCAACCTGCTGGAAGAAAAGCAGCCGGCTGCTAAAAGTGAAGTGGTGTGGGCTGGATGTGGCTCTTTCTTCCCCGAGGTAGGGAATTTGGGCCACAGCAGTGCTCTTTTCTCCCCGTCTTTATCAGCAGCAGGCAGATCCGTGGAACAGTAAAAGGGAAACATACTGAAAGGAGCAGGGCACAGCTCGCGGGAGCTCAAGCTGTTCAGATTCCCTGGACACAAAAGACACGGGCTACGTGGCCTCTTCCAGCTAGAGCAACTTCCAGCTGGAATTCTTCTTCTTTCCAAGTGAGACTGAACAGTATCTGAATAGACAACTGAAACATGCCTTCCTTCCAGTCAAAGTCATCCTTATCCTCAGAAATTACAGATACTGACATAATCTCTAACTCCCTATAGTCTTTCCCGAAGGAAGTAAAATAAATAAATACGAATGTTTAGATTTAAAGTCAAATTTGGGAAAAAGCTAATAGCTGAAAAAATGGGAAAACAAGACTGATTTCACATTTTAGATTTCTTTTATGAACTTAATTTCACAGTGTGAGAGAGGTACATAATTTCTAGAGATGCCTTTAGTAAATGATTTTGAAAATCCTGTAAGTATTTATCTTGGGTACCTAAGTGACCTTCACAACTCCAGCCCATAATGAGTCGGAGAAACCCCACCATCTGTCCTCTGCCAGCCTGACCTCACCTCTTCACTGATCAGCCCTCATGCCCTGCAGAGCAGCACCCCTCCCGCCTGCATGTGCTCGTGCCCATGCAAACAGACTCTGCTTTTACTAAATCTCCTCCTTGTTGCACACACCGCCAGGACACACTCCTCCTTCTCCGCGCCCTTGAACACCAAATCTGTTCTTCAAGAATAGTTGAGCAGACAGAAATAGAACAGTGTGCCTACCACAAATTTATGTAGGGAAAAAATAAAAGTTTTAAAAAGCAAATGAAGCTCTATGTCCTGCAGAGGCACCTCTATCCAAAGAGTTACTTTGACTTGGAAGCTTTAAATAATATACCAGTCAAGAAAACAATGAAAGAATGTAGGAAAGAATGATACTGCTCTCCATTACTGAACAGGGGGCAGATGAACAAATACAGCAGAGTGAATCAAGGACAGTGCTGTAAATGACTACCGCAAACTCAAGCAAAGACAATTCTTCTCCCCCAGTTTCTAGGATGCTTGCATGGCATGGACAAAACATTTAAAATAAAGATTGAGAATGTCAATAGAGACAGCTGCTAGTTCTACATACCTTGTCCACGTGATGAAAACATCAAGGGACAGTCATATGCCTTCACGGTGCTTTTCCTCTATCAGAAACCACACAAAGCGTAACGCCTTGCAGAAGTCATCAACATGTAAACACAGAACTACAAAAATGCCTTCAATGCAATCACAATGATTCCTTTTTAATGTTTGCTCGTTGTGACTAAGCAAGTTCTGTAAATGGTAAATTCTGTAAATACTATTGATAATTACTGTATGAAAGGACATTTACCTTAACTTTCTATCAACTATATTTTAGGATATTTTAATTCTAGGTGAAGCTAACTGAATTTCTGTAGGTGAGAAATTTACAATGCTCCGTACCCTGTGTGTTTCCAATACGAATGACATGTCAAATCTGGTTCAGGACGTTTGCTTTAGCAACTCAATACTGTCACTGCAGTAGCAATCGTCTGGTGGCGTTACAATATTTGCAGTAAGAGCTGATACTTCTGCAGCACTTCACGCATTTTTTGTAGTTTGCTAAACCCACCTGTTGTGCATTCTACTTAAGTGCACTTGCTGGAGCCAGCTCAGGTGTAACACGTTGAAGGTTGTGACTCTATTAAGCACTCGCCATGGTTGTGTTTTCTGGAAAACAGTGGCAATATTTACGCGGTGTTCGGGCAGGAGATGTCAGAGATGTCAGAGTGGTAAGGGTTAGGGTAAGGGTTAGGTTTAGGGTTAATGTTAGGGTTGGGGTTAGGGTAGGGTTGAGGGTTAGGATTAGGGTTAGGGTTAGGTTTAGGGTTAGGGTGGGGGTTAGGGTTAGGCTTAGGGTTAGGGTTAGGGTTAGGATTAGGTTTTGCGTGAGTGTTAGGGGGTTAGGGTTAGGTTTAGGTTTAGGGTTAGGGTTAGGGTTAGGGTGGGGGTTAGGGTTAGGCTTAGGGTTAGGATTAGGTTTTGCATGAGTGTTAGGGGGTTAGGGTTAGGTTTAGGGTTAGGGTTAGGGTTAGGGTTAGGGTGGGGGTTAGGGTTAGGCTTAGGGTTAGGGTTAGGATTAGGTTTTGCGTGAGTGTTAGGGGGTTAGGGTTAGGTTTAGGGTTATGGTTAGGGTTAGGGGTTAGGGTTAGGGGTTGAGGGTTAGGGATAGGGTTAGGGTTAGGGTTGAATTATTGTAGAATTATTGGGTTTAGGTTTTTAAGAAGAATCTTCTAGGATTGAGAAAATACTTGGTTTTGTAAGGCATGAGGTTCTAGATG